TACAGTTATATTCCACAACTGCGTGATTAATTAACGGGTTTCCTCTTTTGTAATCAACATTCAGTTGACGCTGCATATGTTAAGCCGCAACTGGCGACAGTTAGGACTCGGTGTGAAACAGCTTGATGAATAGACGAGGTTACGTAACGCCAGGCGCGAAACTGAAAATAATTCCCCCTTTGTTTACATTTTACAGTGTCTGACACTTTCACAACAATCAATAAAACACACGCTGCGAAACAGTTAAATAATAAACAAAGACAAGCTAGAGTCGAATAGAAAAAGGCTCTGACGGGAGGAAATGGTGATTCCTCATTAGAGAGGACAAAATAAAATTATCCGCGTAAAACTTTTAACAAATGAAATGACATAGTCTGTACACACCCATTCATTAGGCCATGACATATGCATATGGGATCTCGCACAGTACAACGGGTCGCAATCACAAGCTCTCACGCTGCAAAACAAACCACACATTTAAAACTGTAACAGATAACTTGCTAGGTAGTATGCGACAACGTCAGTGAACATTTGCGGCCGTTTTAACGATCTGTTCTTACCTAATTTTTCCGCAAGAGTGTCGATCTTCTCCAATGCTGCCGCAACATCTTCATTTTGGTGAACGATAAGTTCGATCTCACCAACTTTGTAGCCAAAGTCTGTTTCATCGAGGTCGATTTGAAAACCCCCTTCCATAGTATAGGTCTTTCTATTCGTTCTGAACACTGCAAATGGCTGCAGTCCCGTTTTCTCTACGAATTTTGCAATTTGATCAGCGTTGTCGCCAGCGTGAGTTGGATCCGTTTTCAAAATGGCAGACAGGTACTGAACGATCTCGCCCGCGTTGGTTGTTTCGATATACTGTGCCACGTCGCTTTCGGGTTTACGTTTTTCTGGGGGTGATTTTAACTCCCAATTACCTTCTCTTTTTCGTAACCAGTAGTCTGATAATGTTAGCTGGTAATCGACTGAGTCGTAGTAGGAATCTTCGAACGACTTCTCTCGCAAACAAGAGGCCCCAACTTCTTGCAGCTTTCGCTCGCTGTTCTCATTTATACTGAATTTTCTCTCTAACTCCAGCACTTTTGAAGTCCCCGTTTCGCTTGTAGGTTCCTCGGACATCCTTGTTTACAACAAATTTGCTGTTGTTCTATCCCAGCTAACAAACTGTGCAAAAAAGTCCAACAAAACATAAGATCACAACACTATTATCGGTTAATTGAGGCCCAGACGATAGACAAGCAAATCCATGTAACCCGCCATAGTTACGTCACTTCCTCTGCCCTTGACCTGTCAGCTGAGTGATTTGCATTTCTGTAATTAGTGCGACTGGGTAAGATTTGTTCCCGAGATTTGAACCAGTCGGACGTCATTGTTTGATTTCGTTGTGGTGATCAGATACGGAATTGTGCACACCAACTCGGTCGGGACTCTGGATACTGTGAGGTAAGCGTGGTTTCCTCACGTACTGAGGTACTGGTATGCCGACTTTTCAGGTCATTTATGTCACGTGACTAATGGATCGTCTGAGCGACAGATTCCCGCGGATTTTACAAAATCATGGGCACAAATCACTGTCGGCCGTCAAAATGGATACGCCGAGCCAATGGAAATCAAGACTTCATAAAGTTGATCTGAACTTAAATTAGTTGGGGAGTAGTTTAACAAGGCGGAAATGGGTGGGAAAATCGGCGCGCAGACATACAATATGCAAATGAGGTCGAAAAGTGATCACGTGGCCGATTTGATTTGACGCGGTTTTCCCGGCGTAAAGTTTGTGAATCGTCTGTAAAAAGTTGTGTGTGGTAAAAAACAGTATCCGAGATAGTAATTTAAGTGAGCTTTTCGTCATTGTATTGTCGAATTTCGCTGCGCGAAGCACTTATCTCAGGGTGGGAATTTATGTTAATGAGATGTAAATTGTCTTTCGCTTATTACGCATGCCCATTGATGCCTCCCAGCCATTTTGGAATAATTAGCAAAATAATAATATCGAATTTTCATTTGGTTATTTTTAGCTCTTTATTTTTCACCTAGCATTTGTTGTTGGAGTCGGCGATTTCTCAGTTCTTATATTGCATGTGACCTCCGGTTCGTCAAGCGGCGGAAAGTTCTTCGAATGACGGAATCTGAAGCAACCAAACAGTGAGTTTTCTTAGTGTTAGTTCGTGTTCGAGCTTGATGGGTATGTTTTAATTGCGACGTGTTGTTGCCCGCCGTTAATTACGAGCGTCTCTATTAATGGTAATTAGTCGAAGGTTTTCCGATGCCTCCACGCCGTTTTTGCCGTGATATGTGACAAAATTCAATGGTCAGTTCATTCGACTTGCCTTTAGTGTTTTTCTTGGGTTGTATTTCGATGTGTAACATGTGTAAAATGTGACCCGAAGTGGCTGTCCTCTTGACACAATCGCTTCACCTGAAACTCGTGTCAGTGGCGTTTCCGAAATGCCGTACACTGATCGTCTCTACTAGTCGATCGCATGCCGCGCTGTGCAGCACTGCTTTTGTGTTCATGGGTTTACGTTACCTACTGAGTGTATACGTTTCGTGAAATCCCTTTCCCGTAGCGTGTCTTCCCGGTCTTATCGTACATTTCGAAGTTAGTAACGGAGGGATTTCGCGATCTGATTGTGTTCATTTCAGCCGTGGTGTCAGTTTCTCTTTGGACCAGTGGAGATACAACGTAAAGCGCCCATTCAACCGCAAGAATGTCTCCTCGCCCGTTAGTTCGCAACGGCATCATTGTTTCAAAATTGCTACCCGTTTTAAAGATTTCTTTAAGAAACACAGTTCGTATCTCCGTATTGTCACTTCCGTATCGTGTTCTCACGACTGGGGGAAAAATATCTGGTCCATTCAACTTAACTGTTAGCGTGGTTAAGAAGGTAGTTGATTTCTTTCTTTGTAGACGTGTTTTGTATGTTTTCGGGGACAAGTGAATTCAACCTAAGACCATCAATCATTGTTGAATAATTTTTTTCCTTGCGCCTTAAATTTTTAATCACAGTAATGCATTGTGTTTGCATATATTGTTTGAAACGGCCTGAGCTAATTTACCAAAATTTACTGAAGTGGAATTTTCACTTGCATTCAAATTTTTCATTTCACTCCTGAGCTTTTGGGCTCAGTGTTGTCACCTTGGGGAATCCAAGTCACACAGCATGGGGAGTGACCTTGTGTTTGGCAGAGAAAACAATATAGCTTGTGAGCATAAAAAAAAGAGAAGACATATTGGATAGTGCACTCAATAATTAATTTTTAGTCTCTCCATTTTGATTGACCTGCCTCATTATGCTGAACTGCATTTTATATCTGTTTCATTACGATTGCTGCCTACACCTTAGCTTATATGCCTGAGTTTTTACATAATGCCCCTGGGGGCTGACGACACTGAAATATTGATGGGCATATTATTTCCATGAACATGCGTGCCCTACCAACCCTACCACAGGCATCTGATCTAAGAAACGCTCCAAGTTGTATCCGAGACCAACTGTTAGCGTGGATTCCTGTGATGGATTGGTGTTTTGTAGCGCTGCCATGTGTGTACTGCCGTCACTGTACCGCTGTCCCTAACTACATTTAATAGTGAAATCAATGTAACGCATGAGTGACTCGACTCGATGAGGCTGTAACTTGTAGCTCGGCTAGTGGGGAGTTGTGATTGCGCATCATAAAATGTGGGATATGCGAGTGGCTTCTGTATTGGCTTCATAGTGAGCATTATTTGTACATCAGAGGTGATACCAAATATGAGACAGAGCAAATCCATTGTACTTACTATCCAAAAGAGACAAGATATCGATACTCTGCTCTTCTTTGTCAATGTCACTAATAATAGTTTTGCGTTAATCCTGGGCAAGGGGGAGGGGGAGAGAAAGAACAGTTTAACTATCCAAATAGAACATGTGTTGACTTCCTCTACAAATGGTTTCCATGATCTAAGCACTCTTGAAAAATATGACATTTTCACACTTCTCTGTAAGGTTTATTGCCCGAGCCAATAGAATGAATACTGGGTGTAATCTATCAGTCTGTTTGTTTTTTGACAAGTATGCAAATGATGCCATTGACTTGGGAGGAGAATAAATGATGCAATTTTTTTTTTTAATATAAAAATTTCTTTTTTAAATTAAATATCAAATTCATCATCAGTCTCCTGTATTGTTGTCAATTACTCCAAGTGTTAGAAACATGTGTTACATATTTTTTTGTAATAGATATATTCAACCTGATACTGTCTAAACCTTGTACTGGCTCAGCATCATAAATTTGTCCAATTCCCTCCTACTTTCTCCTCATCACAGGTATCCCACCGAGTTCCAGTGGATGGTCATAGAACATTCCTCGCAATGATACAGTTTAAATTGAAACGCAGCAGCAGGCAAGTTTTATCTTATTTTCCAAACATGTGTCACATAACATTTTTTTTGTCTCCATCATTTTTTTTTTGTTCCCTCCCCCTCCGTTTACTGTTTGTGTCACTATGCTTTTGTTGCATCACTCTAATACTGATGGGCATTTTTTCATGAGAAGCTGTCATTTATACTTGAATGGCTTGTTTGATGAACCATGAGTCAGTCTGACCTTATCATATGATATCCCACTAAAGCTACCAGCAGTGCAGTATGAAGGCTGCACTCTTGTGTATACTTTGATCAGTTCTCATGCATGGCTGCGTACAACGTCTATTTGCCTGGCACACATAAGTGCATTGATTTCCGGCTTGGCTCTTATGTAATGGGCAAGTTTTCTTGCTCCACAAGATCAATAGCCCAGGAATTGTCACAAGGATGGACTTGATGTTTGTGTTAAACTACTTTTGATCATGGTCTGGTTTGCTGCTTCCGCACCAGTGTGAGGCTGTGCATATCCTTTGGGACGAAAAATATGCTTGTTAAAAAAAAAATGCTTGGATGTATAAAACGTAATAGAGAAGATATTAGGCTGTGAATTGGTCTGGAGATGTGGGAATGGAGATTTAGTTTGTTGATGTTTGGAGGTCCGGTCAGATAGCAGTGCAAGTCACTAGACTTCATGTAAACTTCATTCCATCAGCACAGCATGCAAGTTACTCTTACTGCCAAAACAAGGAAGGCCTGGTGGAAGAAATTTGAGCTGATGTCAACCCTTGCAATTTGCACTGGAGACAGTGGTGTGATTTTTATTATGATTATGTCTCAGACTCAGCGGTTAATTAAGGAAAGAATACTTGAGGTCGATTACAGTCCCCATAGCTGGTAAATCCAGCAGCCATATGTTCTTGGCATTAAGACTGATGCTGGTCAGTGTCAGCCTCTGAGAGCAATATATACAAATCATGGGAGACTGGGACAATAGTTCACTGGCTCTGGGATTCTCATTGCCAAATTCCAGGCCATTAATTCAGTTGCAAAATGCACAGACAAATCAATCGATTGTTGTCTGCCATGGATAAATATTGAAAACTAACTCATGATAATCTGATGTCTTCTAATTATTCAAGTGATAGATATTATAAAAGTATATAAAAAAAATTATTTAATTTAATTTTATTATTTGTAATTATTTTGAAAATATATATCTGTAATAATAAATGCAGAGGATCATGGTGTTGAATTAATTTTTCTTTTTGACATTTTGAGTACATGGTTATTTTCCATATGATGAAATGACGACTGCCTTTGTGCATTGTAACATAATGTTAGCAGGTTGGTACAAGTTCACCTCAACCATTTTTTTTAATTGTGTTTGATTCATTTGTTTGGGACTGGTTTTGTTTTTTTATCTCTTGGTGATAACTGTTTTCAAGTTGCCACCTTTCACTATATACAACATTAACAAACAGAAACATGGTGTAATTAAAATGTTTACACTTATTAATTAAGTTTGAAATCAACAGCACTGATTCACTGTTTGCAGTCATTAAACAAATGAGTCAGCAGGAAGGAAGAGCCAAATAAACTAATTGAGGGAAATATGACTGATCACCACACCATGGCAAAATGTTTTTAACAGCCATAAATTTGTCAGTTTGAGGGTAGGTTGTAATTAAAAGCAAGGTCGTCAGGATGAGGTAAAATCGTTATGGCTGGTAGTAAAAAAACACTTTTAACTATCCCGGCCGTTCATTGTGTCACCAAACAGATAGGTCGGTCTTGATCAATAGCAAATGAGCCCCAATGTTTTCATCACCGAAGAAAAAACAAACCAGAAACAAAGAAAAGGTCACACTAAGCCTTGAACCTTGCCGAGCTTGTTAAAAAAAAGCCAGGAGGAACTCTGATTGTTTTATGAAAAGAATTAGTATGGCTGTCAGTCTTAACAACAGGCACCTTGGGCACAGATTCTCCCTGCATATATAAACAACCGAACTGTGAGTCCAGTTGCTAACATGGTCACCAACTGGGTCACTGGAAATAGTGCTTTAAACCTTCTGTAATCTAGAGATGTATTTCGAAGCCATGCTTGTCTGTGACCTTGGCCTGTATTTTGTTGTGACACATGGCTAGTAAGTTTAGTTTTTTTTTAACATAAGTAATTATTTTTTTTTATATCATAAATCATACAGTGAGAAAAGGTATTCTTATGATGACGTTAATAATTAGTCCACATTCTTTTTATTTTTTTTTACCTATTTAGATCTAATAAATTCTGCAATTGATGCTTTACCATGTCTGTCAGTCCGTCAAGTTTTTTTTTTTTTAATTGATACTTTGCTCACCCCAATTAAAATAAGTTTTATTTTTGTAATGTATCAACCTTGTTTAGTCATTTGAAACATGCACTTAGTAAGCATATGGTATGTAGCTCGAAAAAGGTGTCTCAAGTCCGAGTGATGACAAAGTACACACTGGGTTTTATACACATACATATTTTTATTTGAAAGTTGATTTATCATATCATGAAAATTCCAAATTTCACCTTGAAAATGCAAAGACCCTTGTGTCACTGTGATGGTAATCTTGAGCAAATACACTGCCGAGTTAATATACAACCATACGCTGATTCTTATAGCTAAATTCCAATGGGAATCAGTTTAAATCATAGCATGCGTCTTTCGTAGGTTATATAAATGCATAAGTTAAGCAGAAGCTTTCCTGCTTTCATTAGGCCAAATTTGTATAGTGACTCTACTAACATTGCGTCGCATGAAATATTCATCAAAACTACCAGTCTACTGAGACAAAAAAAAAAAATCTCATTCTAGGCTTTGCTGAGAAATAAAAAAAAAAGTCTGCCTTTGTTTTGTTTTCCAGTCTGCCTGTCAAGTGCTGGCGTCCTTTCATTTAATTTAAAACAAAACCATGTTTTCCCCAACGCTTACACTTGAGTTGCGTTTACAGTACAGTTTCTGTCTAATTTCACACTGCCATTGCCGCCTATTATAATCCCCCTTGCCAACGCACTAAACACTTTCAATAAATTCCACCCATTCTTTATACTGAACAAACTAGGGTTTTTTTGTTCTCACAGTACCTTTTGTTTTTCTGATCCGTTTCTATTTTGACACCACCTTTTTTTTTTGACAATTCCCTGATTTGGCTATGGAAGTATGTTTGTTTGTATGTATGGAGATGAGAGGGAACTCCCACGGTTTTTTGACCATGCCCAACAGCTAAGATAAATAACTCTGGCTGTCTGTTGGCATGATAACCCTTTCCAGTTCATGTCCTCAAATCACCTTTGTTCAGAGCCCCAGTAAACACCCCCCCCCCCCTCCCCCACACTTCAATAATGTCACATTAACTTTTATTTTTGAAGCTGCAGTTTTAGCACTGTTTGTGGGTTCTTGTTTTTTTTGTTTACGGTGAGTTAGCTTGACTCTACAATTTTAATGACAATGGCCATGGATTTACAAGACAAAAACCAAGGATTTTAATCATGGCCTTTGTTAACGACTTTCATTAGTCTGTCAGAATGAAAGAAAAAAATTGATTAAAAACCAGTGGAGTTCACAACTCTGTTTTTGGTCATGATGCAAAAAAAAAAAAGAAAAAAAAAGTAATCCTACAACCTTATTGTGGCATGCTGAGTTGAAGCAGGCAGACATCCCTGTTTTTGACATAGCAGCGCCCTGCCAGTTAATTAGTTTTATTCTCTGTATCTGCTCATATGCAAATAGGTAACTGGGCACTAAACCAAACACAATCGGCAATTTAATTGCATTTGCATATGCAGATGGCATTCCCTGTGTGAGAGGTGGCCCCTTTTGTTGAGCTGTTTAATTGTATGCCTTTGATATGCAGATTTCTAAAGATCTATTACTGATTTAATTACCAAGTGAAAAATATTTTCTACTGCCAAACCGGTTAGTCTGGATATTTTGAGCAGTAAAAATAAAATAAATAAAATAAAATAAAAGGACAAAATTTATTAATTGCACTGCAAATATTACTGAGACCGACTTTGGTTGGGGTGGGGTGGATAGGTTGGGTGGGTAGGATGATGGCATGGCTTTACACTGAGTATATAGGTTAAGCTATGCTGACATAACCTCCCCCTGTGTAGAGACTCAGGGTCACCTCCCCGGGGAGTTAACCAGATACTAATGCCACCTCCCCCGTCTTTTATTTTGAACTGTCTTTGATCGGTGGTGATAACATCCTTGATAGTATTATTGGCAAAATAGCCTATCCTTTGTCATGATTTACGGCAGCTGGGGCTAATTGCATTTACATATGCAAATTATTCACCATTAAGTTCATTTAAGTGCCCTCCAAGCTTCTGAAAAGATGTTTGTGATTGCCTGTGAATAAATGATCTGTGCTCCAATGATAGCCATAGAATTCCATAATTAAGGATGGGCCACGTTTTTCATGGGGCCACAGTGATTTGCCTAATTGTGCAGCATCATGCATAAAGCGCCCTTGCTGAGAGCGGGTCGTGGGATTTGCCAGTGAGAACAATACCAGCTACAGACAGCCTGGCAATAAAAGCCAATCCTATTTGCATATGCAAATAGCAGTTTGAATAGGGAGGCTAACTGTAAACCTCTATCTCTGTGGTGTTTTAATTTATAAACAAATGATCTAGATAAAGTGTCAGTGTAGCAGCGGTGAGTTTGTGTGGTCAGTGAAACCCATACTCCCGCATCTCAGTTCATGGAAATACCTATGTACCTTCATACATCACCAATCCTATACTAGGAAGATGACTTTTATGTTTTATTATATACAAGGACTTCAAAAGATACCTAGTCTGGTGGCCTGAAATTGTAATTAATATTGGTCCAGTTCGGCTAATGGATTTGCAGAGGGAAAATCAACAAGCCTCAGTAATGAGTGACTATTATCCTAGCTTATGCATTAGCAAATGTAAATAATGAATACAGTTTCATTGGTAATTTAAACAGGGATGTATGCACATGGTGATAATTGCTCAGCTCCCTGCGTTTGCTTGCTC